TGAAACCAACTGTAAAGATAGTCTGATTTACTTGGAGAGAGAAAAGAAAAAATTTGACAAATTTAATAGGAGGAAATCATAGAAAAGTTCATGATTTCTTCTCTTATATCGTGTTTCAATTGTTTAGATTTTTGTTATCATTCAACTGATTATAGAAAATTCGGATCCAACATTAAAATAATGAAAGTGAAAAACAACTAAGTATTGATTAAAATTGGCAAAGATAAACCGGGAACAAAATAAAAGAAGAATAGAGAAACACATAAAAGGAAAAAATGAGAGATGAAATTTTGAATTTTATTCTCAATATAATTAAAAAATTAATTAAAATTGGTCAAAGATAATTGTGAACAAAATTTAAGAAAAACCGAGTAAATACCGAACAAATATGATTACTGCCCCTGTTTCCAACCGTGAGTGTTATCTCGCCTTCAGCAAGCATTCTCTGGAACTAGTTTCCTAAAAAAAAAGAAGAAATATGATTAGTGGTCCATGAATCCAGTATCTAGGTTGAGTGATCATGCTCTACTAAACATATTTTTACAACTAGTAAATCTTATTTACTTTGTTGTGCCTTTTCAACACTCTTCCCTATGCCCGTTTTCATTGTAATTGAAACATTTTCCATTATCTGCATTTTGAACCTTGCGTCTGGGGTCAGTAGAAATCTTATCTTTCCCTTTTTGTCATATGCATCCCAAACTATTCTGTTTGCATTTGAGCCGGGATTTAGGGGGACATTCCTCAGTTAAAACAAACCTCAAACATGTATGTACATAATAGTATCGATATATATACATACATCTACATAGATATGTATTATGTATGTATCTACGTATATCTACATAGATATGTATTATCTATGTATCTACGTATATAGATATTTATATATATACATATATATGTATATAGATATATATATACACACGTAAATATGTATGTATGTATGTATATATATATATATTTTTTAAATGGTAGAATATTACCCTTCTTTCTTCTTTAAATCTCTCACCCTAAAAAGTTCTCGAAATAACCCAATCCTCTCCTCATTTACATGTGGCTTCTCAACTAGTTGATTCCTTTACAAAATCATGACAAGAGGAATGTGTTATTGCGTAACGTTTCTACCTTCCTTGCAAGAATTTTCATCGATCATTTTTCATCTCAAATCTTTCTTCAACGACAATATGTAACGACCCAAAATTTTCTACTTAATTTAAGATCGCTACTCTATACATATCATAAACATTGAATGCGAAAATACTTCATTTAAACTTTCATAAAACGTCACATTCATCTTAAAACACAGTCATGGACTTACGTGTTTTAAAAACACCTTAAAAAACGACACAACAAAAGACTAAATAAAATAAATAAACGTTTAAATTAAAAACATCATATTCTAGTGTAAGTCTAATAAAATAAATAAGACTACCCTATGCATCGAGTTGCTATGTCGTCATCAGCCGTATAGGAATGTCTTTCCTTAACCTAAAATAGAGGTAGCACGTGCCTTGAGTATTTTAAAAAATACTCAGCAAGTGACCCCACCGCCGGGGGTTAAATGCAACAACATGTGAATGCAATGACGGATCTATCATATCAGTCTCTTTTCCTACGACACTATCTTAATGGGTAGCTTGGATGTGTACCATATACTCTACACACAGCTCATACGTTCAAGTATGGGCTCACTAGACAGTTCACACACCGCTGGACCCCTTTCTTGTTGGGCGACCCTGCTCTGATAACTCTTCTTATGCCGGACACCCATTAGACTTAGTAACTATTATGGCAGCATTATGTAAAACATAATGATACTTCACCTGCCTAATGGTGTACGTGTCCGTACCCTCGTAATGGAATAGGGGTATCCCCCAATGTATGAGCAGACATAATGCATGAGGTCCCAATATTTTTCCATTTTCATTATCATTTAATACAACCCCGCTAACGTTACGTACATTTCATGTCATTTTTTATATCATTTCACATATTGGTTATCATTCATATCATATCATTTCTCATTTTTCATTTCTCGTATCACACATAACTCTAACGGGGTTAGATTTCATGTCATTCATATCATGTTGTGTACATACAATTTAAGAGGCATAACATAGTATTCCATGTTTTTAACGTAACATCTCCTCATATACATCTCATACCATAACATATTGCATCACAATATATTATATCATAAACATGTCAATTTATCACATCTCGTACCATAACATGTTTCATATAATTTTCATATCATATGACAACATATATATATATATATATCTGTCATTCACATGTCGTATCATAATCATATCATATCGTAAACATTTCATGGTCATATTATTCCCTAACTTATTATAGCCTTAACATTCTTATATATATCACAGTCATATCTTTACATGAATGTACCTTAGTCACATCGTTACAAGAACATATTCTAACGTTATCGTTCTATCCATCTATCATAATCCTATCCGTTTCTACCTATAACCTAATCGTATTCTTTTATCAGTTGATTGTGACAATATCGTTTCTATCAATCTCTCATATCCATAGCACTTCTACATGTAATCTAACCTTAACATTTCATATACATATCTTACTTCTATTATTACTTTACGTTTAGTGCATCCTTCTTGTATCATATCTTAAACATATTATTGAAAATATCGTATCGTAAGTATTATTATACAATTCACATATTATAACATATACATAACATAACATAAGTCTATCGATTCACAAATGGTCCATGTGTTAGATTTCAGGTGACTCTGATTAGAGTATGGGATATATATATATATAGTTAGTAGACTTTCTTACCTTCTTATATTTATTGTTTTATTTTTTATCCCATTCACTTCCTTACCTTCTCAACTCTATTGTTTTATCTTTTGATTCCGTTCACCACATCTTTTTCTTACTAGATATTATTGGTTCACTTCTTTACCTTCTCAACTTTACTATTTTATCTTTTGATTTGCTTCACCACATCTTTTCCTCCTACTAGATATTATTGCCAATTTTGTTAATAGATTCTTACTTCCAACAATTTTTTTTTTTTTTATTTCTTACCTCCAACTATTTCCTTCTTTTAAATATATATATATATATATATATATTTTCCTCTTACTCCCACAATTTTACTTTTTAATTGAGTATTTTCTTATTTTCAACTATTTAAATATGTTGACTCAAATCTCACATATTTATCCGTTCAGTTTTTCTAAAAAAAAATTAGAGGGAGTAGAGGAGAGATAATTGAAAAAGGGATGATAAGTTAGTGGAAAATCTCACGTATTTGTCATTTCAGTTTTTCTACAATAAAATATAGAAGGGAGTTAAGAAGAGATAATGGAGAAAGGGATGTTAAGTTACTCTAGAAAGGGATGTTAAGTTACTCTAACAGTTACTCAGACAAAAAAAAATTATATTGGCCCAAGATCACAAAATGATTGAATTGTTGTAAGTGTTAAATCATTTAGTTGAGGTGTTATGTTGATTAGGCTCTTAATAAGAGATGAATTGCCGTCGGAATCCCGCTAAGTCATTTTTCATACTTCATTTTCGTCAAAATTACATCAATTTCATGTTGTTGGTTTTTGGCCAGTTGGGACACGCCTCTTAGCTCCTAGACCCAATGAAGGCGTTTTGGGAGATGTTGTTGGATTTGGTCCCGTTGGGATATGCCTCTTGGTGACTAAACTTGACAGAAGGCTTCAGGAGATGTTGCTGGATTTGTGCCCGTTAGGACATGCCTCTTAGCTCCTAGACCCAATGGAGGTGTTTCGGAAGATGTTGCTAGATTAGGTCCAGTTGGGACACGCCTCTTGATGCTTAAACTTGAGGGAGGGCTTTTAAGAGATGTTGCTGGATTTCGGCCCGTTGGTACATGCTTTTTAAGTCCTAAAGAAAACACATTGCCACTCCACTTGTCTCAAGAGAATTGAGATTAGACAAATAGCAACAAAAGAGATCATCAAGAGTACATAAACCCTATTGACCTATTTTTAGCAAACCCGTTTTGTCGTCACACAAATATTCTACCTCTAAATCTCACATCTTTATAAACTCTTCCCAACAATCTCATCTCTTTATAAACTCTTCTGAACAACTACTTTAATGTAGTAATAAATTATATTTTTTTGGTTGAGTTTTCCTAATTTATTGGTAACAAATGATTTTGGGAAACTAATTATGCTATATAAAAAAAGATATCTAACCATTTTAATCTATTTTATTTTAGAAAAACTTCATCCAACTTTAATTTGAATTTTAGAATGAAAATATTTTCATTTAATTTGAAATCTAGTTACAGTGAACTTCATCTAAATCTCCACCCTCACAACTCATTCCCCAAATATCTTTTTCCATAACTAAATTATAATGAAACTTTTATGAAAATATAAAGATACTTTTTTTAAACAAAATATTAACAATTTTTATTCCTAACCAATTATAAGAATATTTTTTTTTATTTTTTTTAAAATTTAACTCCAATTTTTTTTAACTTTATTGGAAGTTTAATGGTATTATGGGAACTTTAGAGTAATTTTTTTTAAATTTAAATTTCTTTGTTTTTTTTTTTTTTTTACTATTTTTTAAAAAACAAATTTAGTATTTACTATTTGAAAATGTACATTATTCCTATAAATTTTTTTAGATTGGCTGTGGATTTTCATACCATCTTTATGATCACCAAACATCAAAAAGAAAGAACAAAAAATGAATGATTTAGTGTTATTTATGCTATTCATTTTTCCACTTTTCTTTCATCCATTTCTTGCCATTGCTGACTCATCGCCGGACCTGAACCATTCCCGTAGATCTCTTTCTACTTTCCTCTTCACTTCTCCGCCCCCTCCAGCGGCGTTCCTCTTCACCTCTCCGCCACCTCCTGTGCGAACCTTCTTTAAATCTTCACCCCCGGCAACATTTCTCTTCCCCTCTCCGCCACCCCCGGCAGCATTTCTCTTCCCCTCTCCGCCACCACCTACGCGAAACTTCTTTAAATCACCACCTCCGGCGGCATTTCTCTTCTCCTCTCCGCCACCCCCGGCGGCGTTTCTTTTCCCCTCTCCGCCACCTCCTACGCAAAACTTCTTTAAATCTCCACTTCCGGCAGCATTTCTCTTCCCCTCTCCGCCACCACCTATGCGAAACTTCTTTAAATCACCACCTCCAGCGGCATTTCTCTTCCCCTCTCCGCCACCCCCGGCGGCGTTTCTCTTCCCCTCTCCGCCCCCTCCGCCGCAGCCAATGGAGTGATGTGAAGACTGTACACAAGATCAACCATGCTAGAGAAGATAAGCTATTGGTGAGAGAGATGTTCTCAATAAGAGATGAACATTTTTAATTCAAGCCCTTTAATAATGTAACATAGAAATCTTATGATCACTACTTTTATTTTAATAATACGTTTATCATTATATAAATACAACTTTATTTCAGGTTCAAAAATATTCATAAATTTTCAAAAATAGTATTAATATTTTTAATTTATTGAACATCTAAGAGAACTTCTGTAATAATACTTGGATGAAAAAATATTATAGTTTTAAAATTACAACAATTTTGATTTATTATTATTATTATTATTTTTTGTACAATTTCGATCAAATTAAATGTTAAAAAAATAAAAGGAGGATTTAAGTTCAAATTCAATTTTATTTTATTTTATTGCAACACCTCCTCCAACAACATAATGATCACTTATGACAATAAAAAGAAAAGAAAAAAATAGTAAGATTTACTGTGAGAGAGAAAAAGGAAAACAAAACTTTATACAGGTTTAATTGAGAGAGAGAAAAAAAAATTTTAGATCTTATTTCTTTTATATTTCAATTATTTAGATTTTTACGATCATTTTAGAAAATCATGATCAACAACATTAAAATGGTAAAAAAAGAAGAATCTATTAAAATTGAATAAAGATAAAAAAGAAAAAAAAAGAAAAAAAAACAAAGAAAAAAAATCATTAAAATTGTTGAAAGGTAGTTACAAAAAAAAATTAAAAGCAAGGGGAATAAAAAATGAAAGTCTTGGATTAAAATGGGATAAAGATAATTGTTAATAAAATTAAAAGAAAAAGGAGGGGAATAGAATTGTCAATTTTGATGTCTACGGTCAAACACAACTTTAACTTCTAAGAATAAGAATTATAAAGGATAAACCATGGAAAAATAATTGAATTTGAAATATCATAGGACTAGAAAACAGATAATACTCTAACATAAAATAAATTCATCAAATTCTTTTATATGACAATAGCTTATATCTTCTAGAAAAATGGTTAACTCCATCTATAAACTTGTTACATGAAAGTTCGAACTTGAAACTAATGTCATGAGCACACATAGGTTAACTTGGATTTCAAAAGACAGAATCAAACTTTCATTAACGATAAATTCATGACAACAACTTAAGCTAATCAGGTAAGTTGTCTTTCTGTCGGCTCGGTCGGAAGACTTGTCTTATATATGACGACACGTGTCCAGTGGCCCTTGTACGTGTCACTTATGCTTTATGTTATATGATGATGTGATGACGTTAAATGATGATGTGTTGATGTTATATGATGATGTGATGATGTACATGATGTTGACATGATGACGATGATGCATAATAATAAGATGATGAGACGTATGATGATGAAATGCCTTAATATGACAATCTTCCATATTAAGATGTTGTGCATGTATTAAATGCCACAATGCATTATGACGACAAGTTTTCAAAGACACAACCCTAGTTAATGTTAATGATGATGAATATATGAATGCCAATGCATGCATGTTACTTAGAATAATAAGTGAATGGTGTATAGTGTTGTGTCTTAAAGATGATTTAAAAATGAAAACTGTGGGGATCTCGTGCATTTTGTGTGTTCATATATATCGGGATAATTCTCCACTAATGATGATGAGCGGGGACGCGCACAGTATGATGATGAAGGTGTTCATGGGGAGAAATTGACAATCAACGCTTGATTAATAATTGTCAATTGGCTGATGTGAGAAGCAATCCAGAAAAGAAGACTTGAGGAGTACTTGAAGTTGATGCTTTATCCTCTATCAACGCTTAATTAGCTTCGGTGACTAATATTCTACAAAATCTAGCATTGGGAGAAGGTTCCATGAATAAAGCACCCGTCCAAGTTGCATTTGTAATGACCCAAACAGCAGCTGAATCTTGTGTATATTGTGGAGAAGAACAAAATTTTGATTAACGTCTAGTAATCTAACATCAATTTTTTATGTGAAGAATCAAGCTAATAAGGCATCTAAAAAATAATCCCTTCTCAAAGACTATAATTCAAGGTGGAAAAACTATCAAAACGTTTCATGGAAGAGACAAGTCTTATACAATCAACAAATGTCATCCTCCAACTAGCAGACCCATCTTTCACTCATCTAGAAGGAAAAATAAAAAATATTCTAATTCAAGTGGACAAGTTCATATTTCCAGCAGGTTTTATCATTTTGGATTATGAAGCGAACCATGAATACCAATTATCTTGGAGAGAGCATTTTTGAAAACTGGAAGAACAATTGTAGATGTCCACAACAGAACTATAATGTTGAAAATGAATGATCAACGACAACATAAAATATCCAGCAGTAGTAGAGAATCGATCAACAATTTATAAATTGACAAAGAATCCAGTAGCTGATAGTTGAAAACAGCAACAAGAAGAAGACAACAATTGGAATAATTGCACTAAACAGCAATCAGAATTGGATAAACTCGTAAGATATGTTTAATCACTAGAATTATAGGAAAGAAAAAATTCATCAATAATGTCATATATTGAGAACATACCCTTGAACTACATCTTACAAGTAGAGCTATTTGATATATAGAGGATAGATTTCACAATATTATTTCCACCCATCAAATTATTTCTTTGACAATGGATAACTGAAAAAAACAATTGAGGAAAAGGGAGCTGACAAACGGTAGACAGGTAACAAGCTCCAAGAAAACCAAGTTAGTTTTTTTTTTTTCTTTTTATTTATGCACTTGCATAGTTGCATTACTTTCCTTAGAATGATAGATTTTTTTTGTCATTATTTTTACTTTTTTGTCGTGAACAACTTGCATGCCCCAACGAAAGGTAGTCAACTTTTGCATGAGAATTAATCGTACTTGGATGTGGTTAATTTCAGCATATTAGGGAGGCCAATTGGTTTTAGGGCATTAGGATGTGATCGATGATAAATCTTATTTCCGTGTAGTGCACGTTGCCACATAGTTTCTTGTTCATCTTCATTTGCATTTGGTCTTATTTTATTTAAAATCATGTACACCTTTTCATGCAATAATATGCAATGACACGAATAACAAAGAAGAATTTTTAGAATGGAGAGATCCAAATTCGTCCTAGAAAATTTGCTAACCCCTCCAAGTAAGAAATCCATATGGAAAAAAGAAATTGATAGCAAATAATCATTGTGCATTCTCGGGTAAGCTTGAAATGAAAAGACAACAAGAGTGACAAGAGAGGGGCTGCTACACATTATAAATCAAATGTTGGAGCAGACATGCAGACATACAGCAGTAGGTAGACAGATAGCAGACTAATAGCAAAAATAGTTGGACAGATAGTAGATTTACCGCATAAGTATTTCCAAGTTTTTTTTGGAGGAAATTTTTAAAGAATGGGTCACGTCAAATTTTCACATGTGATAGAAGAGGAAGAGAGCGCTTCCTCTAACGGTGCATAACGACAAGAAAATTCTTTGAACACACCCTTTACAACCTTAATGTCTTACTTAAAAGCATGTATCCATATTTTGTGGTTATTTTTATTTTGCTGTCTGCATATAATTTTGAATGATGTCCATGCACCTTAGAGGCATGAGTTTTATTAGGTAGAGTAATATAGTATGCATTGTCAAATATGTAGTAGAGATCTTTTGGGCAAAAACTAGGAATCCAATGTAAAATGTTTTAGTATGATAAATAAAACAGTAAGATAAAGAGGTGTGTTTTTAAAAAAATTTATTATAACTGTGAGTTAATAAATTCCACTTAGAAAAAAAAGTTATTAACCTACCTCAATTTTAGGATAATTGTTTAGAAGTTATTAGCTTTAATAGGTTTAGGGAAATTATTAGTCTTTACTTAGTAAGATTTGTGAGTAGTTTCTTAATTTGATGAGAAAGTTTAGAAACTTGATGAGAAAGTTTAGGAGATCGGTTGTACTTTCTCCACTTTTAGTACTCATGATATGTATGTTATTTTCATAACAATAATTGAAAAGCATAAAATCTTAAGATTCCTCTATTCAAGAACTCTCCCCCCTCAAATTGTTCTACTTCAGTTATTTGTTTTAAAACATTTTCGACCATGGGTTATTTCCAACATTTGGAATTAGGGCTCCAAAGATGGTGAAACAAATGTCGTCACCATATAAATTCATCGGAGAAGTGACAACGATAAAGAGTGGAAAGGATGGGAGTGCAACGCCCAGTACCCGTTACTCAAAAATAGTAACTACGCAGCATGGTCGATAAAGATGCATGTTGACTTATAGGCACAAGGTGTGTTGTATGCCATCGAGCATTTTGACATTGAGGAGCGTAAGGAAATGTATGATTTAAGTAATCTTCCTTTTTGGACCATGTATGAGTTTTAGGAAATGTCTGTAGCCAT